AAAAAAAAAAAAAAAAAATATATATATATATATATATATATATATATATATATTTATTTATTTATTATACTTTTTTTTTATAGAATTTATGAGTTCCTTTTTCATAAATTTATTTTAGAGAGATTAATAAATTTAACTGATAAATATTACAATACTGAATTTAGGGTAAAAGTCAATTTAAATTTATTAATCAACATTTTCGAACTTTAAAAATATTTTTTTAACAAATGTATTAATCTAAACGCACGGCTAGTCGATATTGTCTATTTTAATTCGTTATATATCGTTGTCAGCCTCACAATTTTAAGACGTGTCTACTATGGAGAGGTTTCCACACTCTTGTAAAAAATATTTTGTTTCTCTCTTCAACCAACGTGAGTCTCACAGTCCACCTCTTAAGGGTCCAACATCTTCAAAACAATGAAGCTAACGACAGTACGTTACGTACTAAAATGAATAATATCTACTAGCAGTAAGTTTAGACTGTTACAAATGATATTAGAGGGAGGGAACAAATGACGCATTTTAAAATGACCAGGACAGTGATAATTTTAATTATTATAATTGTTTTTTTTATAATTTAGTTATTGTTTTTTCTTTAAATATGGATAAAATAGTGGTGGGAAACGGGCTTTTGCAGGATCCCACCCCCCCATGTCGGCCATTGAGCGGTCCCCATGCGCAAAGAATATACCATGTGCGATTGCCGCTACGACAATCACAAACAACTATAATGGGCCTTTCAGACCGGCCCACTCCGGCCCAGAAGTCTACATTTTCAAAACTATTAACGGCCGCCGTCAACTAACAGACACCACGTACACGGACACGGCAATCCCCCCACCGCCCTCATTAGGCGTCTTTACCAGAATTCACCCACTTGTCGCTTTGCCTTACCTCCTAAGTTATCGCCTTTTCACTAAATAAATAAAAATAATAATGGTCGGTAGATAATAATTATCAATTCTTTTAAATTTTTCTTAGTCATCCTATCATCAAGATCGCTTTCATTCATATGTGTCAGCTCATTCATTCATTTACTCGTAATGCTACAGGAAAAAAAACATCAAATATCATATTAAACGTTCGAGTTTAGTAAAAATGTTCTCAAAATGAGAAAAAAAAAGTTAGAATAATCAATTCCCACATATGTGGAATTGAGTAAAAATTGCTATAAATATTTTAAATTAATCTTAGAATTTCAATTAGTCTTTTTAAGTATAAGTTGATTACAAAATAAAACTGGGCCGAAGCATAGCCCATAAACAAAGCCCACTTGGAATGGAAGCGATGGTCCATTACTTTGGGCCCAGCCCATTTGTTGAGAAAAGTTCATCCGCTACTCCTTAAATGACGTGGCAAATATTCAATGGTCAAGCTTCCGTGGCAGTGGATCACTGTGAATACGACGACGTTGTGAGTTTACGAAGACGCCACTTTCTTCTTCCTCTCGTCGTGACCGTCGTCGTCCTTCCGCTCCCAGCTGGTAATTCCTCACCATTCCAGTTTGCTTCCCTCGTTTTCACCATTGTGAGTTCGTTTGAGGACACAGAGATGAGGGAATTTATGTGGCTGGTTCTTCTAGCTGGTAGTTTTTGCTACTCTGCGTTTGCTGACCAGATCTTCCCTGCTCAATTAGGTGAAGTTCTTCTCCTCGTCTTTTCTCTCTTGAATTTTTTCATGAAATGTTTCAAAATAAATGTCTGTTTTATGCGTACAATCTCGATTGATGAATTTGTGTTATGGTTATTATTTATTTATTTTTGTTTTGAATTCAGTATTTAGAAATGGTTTTCAACCTATCTTACTTTTTAATAAGTTTTGAGTCTTTTGCTTCCGATTGATTGTGGACATGATGCTTGGATTCCGAAGGATAATGCTGGTGGTGGGAGGTTCTTTTGAACTTATTGATGATTATTGGATCAATTGATGGCTTATTGGCAATGATCGTTTTGAGTTGTGATTGCGATTATTTGTAGAAGTCGTGGGGATTGCCGTGATTTCGAAGGGATAGATATCCATTTCAGAATAAAATGATTTTCTATTTTTAAATTTCAGAAGTAAAATCCAGTTCTTAAATTCATTTCTGAAACCATGTTTGATTGAATTGTGGGCAGTTGCTTAGATAATAAGTGTCACATATGGGAATAGGTGAACTCTGAAATCTAAATCGTAGGATTTCGTCCCTCCGGAGGCTGATATTTCATAGGTTGTTTAACACAACTTGAAACCTCAAAATGTAGTGCGGTGAACCATCTTTACATTTATGACTTTTGCGTATTGTGACAATAACTTATCAGTATGAAATATTATTATTCGTTCTTTCTGATTGATGATAAGCAGGTGGTACATTTAGTCGCAACTCTCGTGGGCCAAAATACAATATTGAATTCCATCCAGAAGACTCGCGTTACAATCCGGTAAGCTTTATGTACTTCGTTGTTGATTCTTGATACTAACAAGATTTTTTTTTTTTATAAAAGTCAATTTCATTGATGATTGAAATTTACAAAAGGGATGTAATATCCATGGTGTTTACAAAAGACCTTCTCAATTGGCAATGAGGGAGATATAAATATAGGAAGTAAAAATATTACACCGTTTACACCAAGATATAGTTTGGTAAACAACATTGTCGAAAGATTTTGTATAACAAGATTCTATTCGCGATGTCGAAAAATTCTCATGACTTCACTTATCATGATCTTCCTCTTATCTAGCCATTGTTGAACTTTTGTCACATTCTTAACAATTCTCCCCTCAAACAAAGTACCATTTAGTCTCCCGTCAAATAGCCATCTTTTCGTCCAACTCTTAACCAGTCCAACTCCTCTTCACCATAGCATACTGCTTATCTGATAGAACTCAATCACATATCACATCATAATTATATCTTTGAAGGCTTATTTGTTCGGCACTCAAGAATTCTACCGACTGAACCACTTGTTAGGGACAACAAAACTCTTATGTATCTTCACAATAGTATGATATTGTCGACTTTGGGTATAAGCCCTCATGACTTTGCTTTTGGTTTCATCTAAAAGTCTGCATACCAACGAAGATATCGCCTCTCACTTTTATCCCCATGATTTTTCTCTTTTCTAGCTAATGTGGAACTTTGATCTCATTCTCAGCAATTTGTCTTCAGAATTTAAGAATAAGAAGGTATGTTCAATGCCATATGCGCTTACTATGTTTTTGTGCCTTTGCAGGATGATGACCAGGAATCTGTGTTTATGCCCAAAAAAAATGGAAAGAATTACTTATGTTACTTGCCTAAGGTGGAGAAGTCCAAGAGTGAAAAGCCAGCTATTCAACCGAACATGACTAGCATGATTATGGAATCTGAGAAGCGGGTTAAATTGAAGACTCCAGATGAGCTACTTGAGGCATTAAAAGAGCAATGCTTTGTCAGGGTTAGGATTTATCGTTGAATATTGTTTTGCATGCATATGATGACTATCTTATCTACATTTTAATATCACATCTCAAAAGAAAAACAAAGTTGTATCTTGTAAACAGTGTTTTTTAATGTGTGCCTTGAGAAATCAGGCATCCCAACAAAAAGTTAAAGAACTTAGATATTTTCTTCCTTGGTTATTTTCTTTAATTTTATAAATAATATATATTAAAAATATATGATATGCTTAAGTAGCGCAAGTGAAGTTTGTGCTTTTAGGTTGCCTTGCTTCACGTGAGACAAGGTGTCTTTGGTTGCGCTCAACACTGAAGCTATTTAAGACTTTGGTCGTTTGTGGCAAATTATGTGCATTTTTGGGTAAACCATGTGATGATTATGTTATAACATGTTGGCCTTGCATCGTTAATTTCTTTTTGCAGCAAGAGGGTTGGTGGACATATGAATTTTGTTACCAGAAAACGCTACGACAATTTCATTTGGAGGATGATAAGGTAGTCTCTTCTAGCACATCCTAATGCATTCTTTATGTGATTCTCGAATCCTTGTGCTGAAAATGGGGGATTGATGTTAATACCCTTAAAGAACCTTGTTTTTTTAGCTTATGAATAAGGAGGGCAACTGTCATGGTTAATTGGTTAATTAAAAATGTAAATTCATGCTCTGCTATTTGTGATGATCTAATGGTAAACTGTTTAGTGGTAAAGACTTCGAAGTTTCTGTCGTTTTATCTTACAGGTAGTTCAGGAGTTTGTATTGGGTGTCTATGATGCAGAGGAAACCGCTAATCTCAATGAGAATCTCTCTGATATATCTACTTTGAAGGACCCTCGCTCCAAAGATGCATCACAAAGGTGTGCTTATATTATAATTAGCTAAGTTAAGAATTATGAACAGAATTTAAGTAATAGGCAAAGACGATCTTTGATTAGTAAAGCTTGTAATTTTCCTAGTTCTAACACTTCTCAAAAGTAGTAAGATGGAGGCATACATGGAAGAAGAAACTTGTATGAGTTTTAATCCGCCATTCTATTGTTGATTTGGCTTTGAGTTTCTTTCATAATCAATTCTTACATGTGCCAAATGTGACATTCAGACATGAAACAAAAAACTCGTATGAATTTTGTGTTTGGATGCCACAGTCGTAATATTATAGCAGGAAAGCTAGGAAGGAAGTGTGTTAATCTGCTCATTATTTAAAATTGAGAACAGCGCAAGAGAAAGATTGGTGATTCGCTGAGTCATGTCATGTACAAGATTTGTGTGATAGACATGAGATCTATTAGTTGGTAACTAAACAACTAATCTCAATTTCTAAAATGATTACTGATCTACCCGACTCACTCAGGTATCATGCTCATCATTACACAAATGGAACCATGTGTGATCTCACAAATCGACCACGAGAAACTGAGGTACAAAGTAATTAATGATTTACCTTGTCACTTTTTTTTCTTCCTTTTTTCCCATGAACGATATTGGTTGCTAATTACCTTGCAGGTTAGATTTGTTTGCTCGGAGCCAAGAGCGATGATCGACTCTATTACAGAACTATCAACATGCAAATATGCCCTTACAGTGCGATGCCCGACGCTTTGCAAGCATCTGTAAATCTCTCCTCTTTCTTCTCTTTTTATCTATACAAACACATCCATTTTGCTCATTTTTAGCTGAAATATAGCGACAAAATCAAGTGTTACTGGCCTAAGTTTGTAATGGGGAGCCAAGATAACGAGAACCCTGCTCTTGGAACTGAACCACTTTAAAGAACAACCTGTGTCAATTGAGTAGCTATATAATTGTTACGAGCCAATCAATAGGAGATAGGAAACTAGGATAGGAACTTAAAAGGAATGGAAGTTATCCCAACTTAAAGTTCACATCAAGATGTCAATGTGATTGGTAGATATAGTTTCTATTCTATCCCTTGTCCGATCATTTTGTTTTGACTTGGCAGGTTATTCCAGGAAGAAAGACCAGTCTGGTACACCATTAACTGCAACGTGCTCCCTGATGATTACAAGGAAACAGAGCCAAGTGAAGACTTAGAAGACGAAATTGTTATGGTTACAGACGTCAAATACCCAAAAAATGAATCCGAAGAGTAATGTGAATATTTTATATCGTAGAAGTTTTAACAACCAAACTAACCTTACAAAAGAAGCCATTCCTCTGTAGATTTGGATTCTGAATTCAAATATACAGTTGCTTTGGAGATCAATCCACCGATTTTCAGGCCCCACGACGAACAACTCCCATGTGGAATTTCATATGCTTTGATCATATCTGAATATAGGTCAACCTGAAAGCTACTGATATGGCAGTCGTTTATGGGATTTATTGTATTGGACAATGATTCAACTTATTGGAGGGGAAAAGCAGCGAGCGTTTGAATTGGTAAACTCATAGCTTGCTTTTATTGAGACATTTACAACACTTCCACAATAACCACGATTGAGAGACTATTATTTGGGTCAATAACATCATATGGATCTCAGAAAGATCCAAATTTCTTTTGTTATTATTTTATTTTAGGTACAGTTCTCAAATGGGTATGCAACCATTCTTACCAGTAGTACCCACTTGATGTCTATGCTTCATTTGTGCTCTGTTCAGTCGACAATCTCCACTACAGCTTTTCCCAAAGCATGTGCCTTCCCTTCTTGTAAAGCAAAACTTAATGGTTCCCAACCTTCTGGCAATACCCAAGTGGTCTTTCATGCTTCAATGGCGAAATCATAGGCTGAGGCTATGATTCAACCACCATCTCCCTAACATCAATTATTTTCTGGGTCTTAGGATTTCATTAATTCAATCAGCTATTAGTTATTTGTTAGGTTTGCTTTTATAATATGTTTTAGATGCAACAGCAAGCAGCTTTCTTTCACCCCTCCTTGTTTTTTCTTTTTCAGTGCATTCATTTATCCCTACAAGCTCTACAAGATTTATGGTCGTAAATATGGGTACAACGGTACAACTTTCAAGGTATAAATTTACTCTCTTGAATAATTTCTGATTAGATGATAGTTCTAGATCTTTATCTTTTTAACATCCCCTCATTTCCTCTAGGTTAGTGATTCAAATCCTCGAGCCTTTGTCGTATTAAGAAAAATCTATATCTTCTCTATTAAGACAGTTTTATTTATAAATCAACCTTTTGTACTTTTCCATCACTCGACCAAGTCAACAAATATCTATATTTCTACGATTCTATAGACTTTTCCACTCTACTGAAACTTAAAAAGGTATGTTAAACAATCCAAGAGTCAAGTGCAAGTTAAGAGACTCAAATTTTGACTTCGATGAACGAAAGCTTTTGTAGCGTTATATTAATCTAAATTTTTTTAAACTTTTGTGGGAGTAGGTTTTATATCTTTATTACAAGGCTCTATGTAAGTGGTTGTTTTGTCGTCCTATATTGTTTAATAATTTAAAAAGTGGGCATTGTAGAGCCACAAAAACCTCCCAACATTTGCAGCATCTATGCCCTTAATATCAGCAATGTGGTAGTAGGTTACTGAATTTAATAACTTACATTAATTAAATCTCAAAACATTTAACTTTTCCTAACTACCCATGAATTATTTTCCGTGATTGGCTCTACATTATAGGAAATATACAAATAAGAACATAGGGAACATTTTGTTGTGGTAATTAAAACAATTTACTTTAGGGATCAAAATATTATTTACTAAACATCTCATACCCTAAGTTGAAGCGTCGTTTGAATGGTAAACGTTACGACTTCGTTTAACTTAACTATTATTCACCAGCATCCACTAACAGAAGGATTTTTCCAAGAATTCTTGTTATATGCTCGTTCCAATCCTCAACTCTCTTCTCTAGACTCATCGATGTTCAATCAATCTAATGCACAGGTCAACAATCAACCACGACTCTGTAGTTCTTCACTATTCGTAGAGGAAGGAGTCTTCTCAAGTTCGTAGAGTGAATTTTTAGTTACCCACAATAAAACAACCTCTCTCACTAGAAAGGCGATTTTGTATGGCTTGCATATCTATTTCCGAAAAAAGTGATGACACAATAAAGGCAATAAATTGCAGTTGAAAACTTTGATTTGAGAGAGAGAGAGATTGGAAGGAAAAGTGGGTTTTGAATTAGTATTGGAGTGTAAGAAAGGGTTAGGTCTTTATTGTGTGTAGAGTGAATTAAAGTTCCAACTATAGAAAGAAGCATTGAATTGAATATGGCATCCCTCCAATAATAACAAATCTCTGACTTCTTCATCCTACATAGTAACCAAACTGTATTCAACACATCCAACCCATTCCTTTCTCGTGAATCTATCCACATGCAACCCCCTACCCTACCAAAAACAAAACTATGACTTAGCCCCCTAATGCCCCAAAACTCGTACCCATCCATGTCACTTTTGATTGGACGGCATCCCTCCACCCATGTTCTCTATAAATAACTATCTAAATCTATCATCATCTCCATTTTCAACCAGTTTTTCATTCAACCTTACATAATCAGAAAATAAAAAATTAATTGTCTTAAACCATCATTAATAAAAGAAATTTTAAAAAGTAATTATGAAATGACATCTTTCCTTAAACACCCAAAAAAAAAAAAAAAAAAAAAAACCTGTTCTGAAATTTAAAAAATATTAAAGAGGACATAATGGTAATCCAACGTTCAAAATACTTCCAAAATTACATAAATAATTGATCCATACCGAAAGCAACGGATCTTTACACCATATCCCTCTCTTTCCCTCACTCTCATCTGAAATTATTATTGTGGTCCATTTAATTTTACCATCAATTTTTTTTTTTTTTTACCCTTTCAGGTAATAAATTCTAAAAAATTAATCCATTATATAAAAATATATAAATTTATTTATAAAATTTTAAGATAATTATTATTTTATGTATGTATAATTGACAGGAATAAAAGAGCGGAGCCGATCGCATTTAATTTTTTTTATTTTTTTTATTTTTTTTATTTTTTGCATTCTCCTCCCCTCTCTCTCTCTCTCTCTCTCTCTCTCTCTCTCTCTCTCTCTCTCTCTCTCTCTCTCTCTCTCTCTCTCGCTATATATGTATGTCACAATTTCCAAACTCTTAAGCATTGCTCAGCTTGGTCGGCCACCTCCAATGGACTGGTTCTCTTGGCTCTCAAGAACCGGCCTCGACCCACTTCACACTTACGAATACGGCCTCGTTTTCGCCCGAAATGGCCTCAGACCCGAAGACATTCCTCGTTTCAACCACGATTTTCTCCAGAAAATCGGAGTTTCCATCGCCAAACACAGGCTCGAGATTCTGAAACTCGCCAAATGCGACAGAGAAGAAGCCACCCGAAAGAAATTGCTCCTTTCCGCTTTCGCCAAGACCAAGAACTGCCTCCGGAACTGCCTCAGGAAGCTTATTTTCACCAACGCCAAGTCGGAGAAGGGGATTTTCCGGGAAGACGCGGCGGTGGTTTCCCCAGAGCCGATTACCTACAGCGAGGATCTCAGCCGGAAACTGGAGGTTAAGGAGGTGCTCAAGCCGCCGAAACGACGCAGTAAACACGTGTCGCTGTCCGGGCCGTTGGACGGGAGAACGCACGAGAAGTTAATGACGAACAGTAAAAGCCTAAAGCTATCTGGGCCGTTGGATAGGAAAGAGAGGCCCATGTTTCCAAGAAGCCCGAGATCATCTGGGCCTCTGGATGGGAGAGTATCTGATTGGGCCTCGAGTAGAAGCCCAAAGCTGAATGGACCGCCGCAGGGGAGAATGATGAGGCTGATACCGCCGAGCAGGAGCCCAAGAGTATCTGGGCCGCTGGATGGACGAGATGGAAGCCCAAGAATTTGCTGTCGTTGTAATAGAGAGAGGATGGAAACCGACGATGATTATCACTCATTGTGGGTTTCATTGTTCTATGACATGAAGCCCACTTGAATCCCTTTATTTATTTTAAGGTTGTTTTTATGTGATATGTGCATTTGATTTAAATGCCAATGCAACTAAAACAACGTTGTCCTTTGAAATTTTGTATGAGGCAACTATTTACATATAAGTCTATGATATAGTTTTATGTGTTTTTTTTCCTGTGCGACAAGTTTGTTGGATGATAAAAGTCTCACGCCAGCTAATTTAGAGAATGATCATGAGTTTATAATCAAAGAATACTCACTCCATTCGCATGAGGCTTTTTGGAGAGCCCAAAGCAAAGCTATAAGAGCTTATACTCAAAGTGGACAAAATCATATCAATTGTGGAGAGTTGTGTCGTCTATATTTTCGACTCAGCTAAAAGGTCATGGATATCTCTGTGATTTTTTATTTTTGTGGGTGTGTTTAAAATGTTTATGTTAACTTCTAAGTTACTATTTTTGTTATATTTTTATATCAATTACGCTAGAATTTTCAGGTGTCCAAAAGGTGTGTTGGGCCTACATGCTAAAGAATGGGCTTGAAAATTGGACCAGAGGATTAAAGGCCCACTAAAAAGCGGACAATTAAAGCCCAAATATACGGCCCAAAGCCCTTGAAAAGTCTCTCTAAGTGGGGTCTTAGTCTCAGAGCATAGTGAGTGAACCAAACAGATTTCAGGAGTCCCATAATTTCATGGGTTCTTTTTTAGTTGTCGCAATCGGTGTGTGTGTGTGTGTGTGTGGAGTGAACATTGGGACACAGGATTGAGATTGGGTGGCTTTTTGGTGGGAATTTTGGTACTAGAAAAATGAAAAGGAGAATTGAAGAGGGTCAGTGTCGGACGCGTAATGTGTGGGGTTTGAGGTCTACAAGAAATAAGAAAGGAAGATAAAGACTTCACAAAGATGGAGATAATGTGCATAAGTTTCCAGATATAAATATTATGAACTCATACCTCATAAGAATGGTGATGGGTGGGTGCACTTCCTGGTCCTTCTCTGCCCACCTGTTACAGTTCAAAATGATCACAACAAAAATCAGATAACTTCGTAATGTCGACCATAAAATAATATACAGTTCCTAAAAAACATGTTCAGTCTTAAATTGTTGTTATAGTTATCATTATTATGGCTGCTAAGATGATAAATTGGAGACACGCAACCTAAGCAAACAAAAAAGCTAAGAAGCGTGGCGTGAGTGGAAAGATCTACAGATGACCAACATCATATATGGCTAACTATACGTTTAATTTTGCTAGTTTAAAAAGATGAGAAGAAAGAACATACAGAAATGGTAAAAGTGGGATTCTCGATGATGATAATGCGACAAGAGAAGACCGCCACTTATTCACTTCATTATCGTCTTATCCTCTTTTGTGTGTTCCTTCTTTTCTTTTCACCTCCCAGTCATACCTATCTTCAATCACGAGGCCAAAAGTTTGAGTTCTTATTCCACTCGTTTCAAAAGGTGAGACCAAATACTCGGAATCCCTGCTAGAACCAATATTTCTAATCCACTCACACTAATATTATTAAGAATCACGTCTCTCCATAATAGAATAAATGGTGGTTAGAAATCATGTCTCCCACAAGCGTATACGCCGTTAGGAATCAGTCTGTCCATAACATCTCCTCTCCTGACATAGGCAGCTCTTCATCTCTCAAAGGGGCATTCTTCCATTGAATAGTTTTATGAACAATCAATAGGGATTTGGATTGGTTTTTCGTAGGCAGAGAGCAGTCGTCGGTTCCTTCCACCCATTTGAGACTTGACAGGTCAACCATCCACTCCACCGCACCACCGAATTACACTACTATTCAATGTTTCATTCGATTCTATTCTATTCCATTCTAACTTCAACTCAACTCTGATGTTATTTACCTTTTTGAATTCCAGGATTTGTTTCCAATTAATTCCAATTATAATTGTTCAGTCGCTGTCAAGAATTCCATCGTCTGTCTTAGTTCATAACTTCATTCAAATTTGAATCTCCACCTGAATTTACTTTCAGATCACAAAATTCACAGTTCAAAATCAGAGCTCTTAGGTTTCAACCTTCAAATGCATCTGTAAACAGAACAAACAGAAATTACAAACATCTAACTCAAAGAAACAAGGGAAATAGGAAGAAGAAAGATGGAGATTGAATCACCTTTAAGAAATCATCCGATTGACAAAACGGAGTACGGCAAGCATGAATGCGTAAATTACCGGCTTCAATTTCACGGCCACCATGAACGGAGGCGACAGCAGAAGGAAGGAGACGTGTACGTCGAACAAAATAACAAACACAGGTGTTCTGGAAACAATTTGAATCGTATAGAATATGTATAACGATGAACTGATTTCAGCGATTAGCAGGCGCAAATAATTTTGAGTCATTCCTTTTCGAATTAGAAGCCCTGTACAGTTCGAATTACAACCAGTTAGGGTTTGATTATGTTTCATTTTGAAATTAGTGAAAAATTAGGGTTCAAAAGTTCCACGAATTGTTATCAATATCGCGGCAACTGTATCTACTTCCACATATATTTATGCTATGTATACACACAGAGTTATATAGGTTCTTTAGTTCAACTCCGTGAAGCGAGGTACACTGAAGAGACAACCAGATTCGATTCCCATACTTCGCCTCCAACTCTGTATCCCTACGCTAAGATCCATCACTTCCGTCGAACCTGTGGTCGGAATCCACCGTCTTCGTCGTTGAAGGCTCAGAGAAGAGATAAAAAGATTAATAAACCAGAGGTTATTGGCCAACGTACCAAATTTTCCATCACAGATCATCGGCTTTCGACATGATCGAAAGCCGGCTCGGTCGCGGACAGAAATCCGCTCGACGCCTTTGGCTGTGAGACGAAGGTCGAATGAGAGACGCCAGGGCCCGCCTCACTAAATCGCCTTCAACTCCTCCGATTCTAACCAAAGAGTTCGTCATCGCCGATCTCCGCGCGTTGAGCCGATTAGACGAGTAAGGAGTCGTAGGCTGCGACGGAACGCCTTTATGGAGACTACACCGAAACGAACCAGGATGCGTGGTCGGAGAGCACAAGCACGTCCTCTTCTGGTTGCTCTGCCTCTTCACTACTTGATTCCCACCGCCACGAGTCAAAACAGAGATATGCCGATTCGGAGAAATAGACCGGTCCAGTGCAAATCTCACGGACGACGCCGACGTAGAAGAAGAAGAACCTTGTAGATGAACACGAGACGGAGACAGAGATCTACGGAAAAAGGAAGTAGGGTTTTCAGTGGAAAAGCTTGATGTGGAGGACGCAAACGCCGATGAGGAAGAAAAAGAAGAAGAAGAAGAAGAAGAATAGGAGCGACAGAATCTCCCAGAAGGTGAGAGAGACCTCATAACAGGGCCGCTCGATTTTCTAGAAGAAACCGCCATTGAAGTTACAGTCGCCAGACACAGAGAGAGCACGATAAGAAAAAAGAGAAGAAGGGTTTTTACCAAGCCGTGTTTGGCTTTTCAAACTGGCAAACCAAGCTTTACTCGAGCCATGTATTTATAGGAAAGATCATCCCCAATTTATCGCGATATTTTCACGAATTTGGCTGGAGAATTTCCCGCTTTGCAAATATACCCTTACACTTTTAGAGATTTTAATATCTCACCAAATAAAATAAAATAAAATTCAGTTATTTTAGTGGAAGATTCTGTCCTTACTGTAATTACCACATTCTTTAATAGCGGTTAATTCGGTATTGTGACACGAATTATACGCGAAATATTATTTAATTATAATTCGATGAATATTGTTAATTAAAAAAAAGAAAAAGAAAACCGACAAAATGCCCGACAGTTACCAGGTAGGCTAAAAAAGTGCCACGTAATAAGAACTGCCGTCTGACACAGACCGTCTGAATTCCACGTACCCCACATCCCTTCCCGACCGATTTTTTTTTTTTTTTTTTAATAATCGAAGGAAAATAAAATACACAAATAAAAATTAAATAATTTCGAGTTCCTCTGAAATATTTTTCTATTTTTATAATAAGAATTAAATGTAAATATGCTATTAAAGGTATTTTTTAAAACGTCCTCCACTGTATATTGCTTGTCAATTATCAATTTATCTCAACAAAATAATATGATAATGTAATTCAAAATACTTTTCTAATTTTAGAATAAGAATCCAAATTCGAATATTTGGTCTATAAGGAAAATAAGAATATTAGGCTCTTAATTAGTTTTACAAATGGATAAAAAAAATTATAAATATTTTATGAAATTATAATTATCAAATAAAATTAAAAAAAATATAAATAGACGAGTGGCTGAGCCTGAGAGTGCGTGCGGCGACCGTAGAATTGAACGCAGGCATTCCCTAACCGACACGTGGATTCTTTAAACTTTCATTATTTTGTTTTCACCCCTCTCCCCCACCCTATTTTACTTTATCGCCCATTCTACAAAAATAATTAAATCTACCACCCTACGAATTTTATGTATTCTAATTAATTAATTAAATTTTTATTTAAAAAAAAAAACATCAAATTTTAATTTATTTTTCATTTAATTTTTTACTTTTATAATTATATCAACATTTATGATACTTAGTATATTAAACATTAAAATATTTTTATGGGACATGGCCTTCTCTCTTTATACAAATTGTTTTTTTTTTCTTGATAATAATATTAAAAAAAAAAAAAAAGGACCCACCATATATCCCATTCAATTTAATGTTGAGGAGAGACCAAAATAAATTAAAGAAGGGTCACAGGCTGGTGATGTTATGGGAGTTGGCACCTTCCATTTTAGCATACCATCACTATACATTTACCTTTTTCGGAGAAAGAAACACCCATCGCTATTATTACTATTACTTTAACGTGGCCAATACATGTGGAAAAGTCTGTGCGTACACCTCCAATTGGAGATGTTGACCAGGTGAGAATGAATCGAGATGAAGATTCTATGTAGAAAATTTCTCGAGAATCGTATTCTCACAAAATATTTATGTTGTCTTATAATGAAAGAAATTCAACCACGAAACAATGGCATATAATTAACTATTGGTTAATAGGTTTGGGTGTCACACTTATTCTTTAAAGTATATAATTATAAAGTACTGATATATTTAGATTGGATCATGTTTAAGAATAATTTATTATATTAAAAGATTGACCGATCATCATTAAGATTTGATTTGGTAGGAATTAATTTAATTGTTAGTGTGATTAGGATTTGCCATATCATAAAGAGCCGATTAAATTAGTACAAAGTCTTAATCTTAATTACACATTGTTAACGTTATCTAATGATCATAAAATCAACCATATAAAGGGTAAAATTGTAATAACCCGAAAATAATAAATAAATAAATAAATTAATAATAATAATAATAATAATAATAAATAAATAAATAATTTTTTTAAAAAAAAAAAAAAAAGACAGCCGCAGCTTGAAGCTGCTGCCATGGAGAAAGGAAGAATGGACAGGTGGTTGAAGGGAAAAGAAAGAAAAGAGAGGAAGATGGAGGTGTGGGAGGAAGAAGGGTGGTTTATTTTGTGTTAGTGTTATGGATGGGGGTGGTGGTTGTCGTTGGCAAGGCCGACGAGGAAGCACCAAACAATATCGAAGAAACAGAGGAAGAGGGAAACAGAAAACAGGGAGTGTTATAATCCGTGTTTTCCGGCAAAAACCTTAAGTTTTTTTGGCGTTTGTTGTGACAACGTGCAAACATGAGGATGGGGAGACGATTGTGAAGGCTTTTCAGCCATTGAAGCTCTGAACTAAGCTGATTTAAGCGGTTGTCGCAAAGGTAACGAAAAACCCATATCACCGAACCTTTAAATCTCGATATCTTGGTTCGTATTGTATAATAAGTTATGAAATAGGGCTTGTTAGAAACGTAATAAGGAGATCTATAAATTTGTAGAAGGAATCAGGATGAAATTCGAATCGTAAAAGGAGGATATGGCTTCGGGATATAGTAGGTATTAACAGAAAAGATGGGAAAATTTCAGAAAAACGCAAGGAAGAAGAAGAAGCGCGTGCACTATGACACAATCGCGCTTTCGAAGGCAGCGGACTAGCGATTGTGCGGCACTCACTTTCCAGCAACAAGTGAGTTGAGCCTATTTGTTCTTGCGTCGCCTACGGCCAAGCGACGTACGGTCAAGCCTCTA